ACAGTCCTCCATACACACAGACAAACCCAACACAGTAAGGAAATTAAAACTAAGATTCGAGAAGGTTTTTCAGGGTGCTTGACTGACTTAGCATAACCATATGTATTTTCATAGTAAAAAAGCTTCTCATAATGGGATATAATGCTTCACAGCATGGGTGGCCATTTTCTTGTGAATCTGTAGTTAATCACTACTTCCAACTTGCTCTTTTTCTACTCTTCTTGATGCCACTGCTCCACTGCAGAGCTAATAAAACACTGAATACTCCAAATCTGTCTCAGATAAAAATCAGTGCCCTTATACTTACAAGGAAACTGCCACTAAAGAAGGCAAAACTTTTCTCCAAACTAGCTGTAACAGCAAATGTATCATTGTAGTGAAGGTAAGTTAGCATGGGTGTATGTTAGCCCTAACATAACTGTCCATCCTGTCTACCTCTTTGCACTATTATCAGTACTAATTCAGTAAAGTAAAATAGAAACTTTTCTAGGGAAACTTAGGTTTGGCTTAGGCACTTTTGTATGAAAGCTGTATACATGTGTCAAATGTAGAAGAGAAACTGAATATTGGTTCCCATTAAAAAATGGAAACTGAATTTTATGCATGTAAATCTTGTGTATGCAGCAGCAAACTGTTGCTGTGTTGAAAGTACTCTGTCATGGGAATTTGATAGAAGTCTGCAAGTCAGACTCTCCTGAGCATTATTTCCAGTTCTTATTGGTCCAAAGTTGAGTTTCCATTTGTCAGATTTGTAACTGAAATATGTTAAGGGGTCTTGCTCACAGGAATCCATTTATGTCTATGAAATTATTTGCAAAATGTTAAGTTGTATTGCAAAAAAAAAAAAAAACAAAAACAAAAACCAAACAAACAGGGTTTTGTTAAACAAAACAGGAACATTCAGACTAAGACTTAAATGTGAAAATTAGTCCATTAGGTGTTTGAAAAGCAGTAACATTAGCCTAATTATAGTAGATATGGTACATACCGTGACTTAGTCCCCATACAGAATGATCAAATGTGTTCTGCTGCTGAGTGCTTTAACTGACCTAGTCACCAGGTTATTGGAGCTTGGCAGAGTTTAATAGAGAATGAAGTGCTAGTTCTGAGAAATCACACTGGGACCTTTAGTTACTAGGTAATTACAAGCAGAGGTACAGAATATTGAATGCTGTACTTATTTAAGCAATGTACTGTTTAACATGGCATAAACAAAGACTTTCATAAAGCTGACTGCTGCAGAAGTAGTTCTGTATGGCTTTTGTATGAGGTAAAACTGGTCATTATTTGATTCTTCCTGGACAAATTTATCGGTTGTCCACAGCTACAGAGAAAACCGGTCTTCATATTTTTGTGCTCCTAATTCTATCAGAATTATGATTACCAAGATCTATGCTATGTGATGAATTTTACATTCAGCTTTCTTTAAAGTGCCAATAAAGAATCTGTTGTAGGTTCATAACTAGGACTCTAAACTTGATGAGTCTTTTTAATGTCATATTCTACAGGGATTTGGTATGTGAGCTGCTGAAGAGCTCCTGGTATAATTAGAGGAAAATATTGTTAACGTTTGTCTCTTTAGTCTGTTTTTCCCCCTCTTTTCGTTTTTTCCCCACCCCAGGCCTCTGTATTTTCTTTTTTTTTTTTTTTTCAAGGTATTTGTACTATTTCCTCTTCTAAACAGAAGACATGTATATCACATGTGATAGTTTATACTTGATGTAGGTGCTTTATGCCTACAGGTTTTCCTGAAGCTGCTCCTGCTGAAAAAAAAAAATCATTCCTATAGAACTCTGTTTTAATAGTACATGGTGGAAGTGTGACCCTTGTGCTAATGTAAGGCACTACAAGTCATATTATTCATCATTTGAGGGAGACAGATTCTAAATGTAGTAACAATACTTGTGAGAGTCCTTTGGATGATGTTCGCCTTTAGAATTCCTGGAAATTGTTCACAGTAGTGTTTGTGTTGCATAGTTAAGTTGGAGGGAAAATAAGCCTTAAATCTGTCCTAGGCCTGAAGCTACTGGTACCTTATGGTCAGGTGGGAAGGTACTTGTTTTCAAGTTTCTCATTCCAAAAGACAAAAATCCATAAAGAATGTTAGAAACCTGGAGATACTCTATTGCTATGTAATTTAGCCGTGCACACTGAACAAACCATGTATATTCAACTCCTTTGTGTAAACAAAATTTGAGCTACTATCCCCCTCTACTCTGCCCTCGTGAGGCCACATCTGGAATATTGTGCCCAGTTCTGGGCCCCACAGTTCAGGAAGGACAGGGAACTGCTGGAGAGAGTCCAGCACAGAGCCACCAAGATGATTAAGGGAGTGGAGCATCTCCCTGATGAGGAAAGGCTGAGGGAGCTGGGTCTCTTTAGCTTGGAGAAGAGGAGGCTGAGGGGAGACCTCATTAATGTTTATAAATATGTTAAGGGCGAATGTCATGAGGATGGAGCCAGGCTCTTCTCAGTGATGCCCAATGGTAGGACAAGGGGCAGTGGGTGTAGCTGGAACACAGGAGGTTCTACTTAAACTTGAGAAGAAACTTCTTTACAGTGAGCGTGACAGAGCACTGGAACAGGCTGCCCAGGGAGGTTGTGGAGTCTCCTTCTCTGGAGACATTCAAGATCCGCCTGGATGCCTTCCTGTGTGATCTCATTTAGGTTCCTGCTCTGGCAGGGGGATTGGACTGGATGATCTTTCGAGGTCCCTTCCAATCCCCAACATTCTGTGATTCTGTGCTATGCAACCTCAAAAGAGAAAATAGTGTATTTTGCATAGACATGCAGCTTATCGATTAAAAACACCTCAGATGTTTTCTAGTGGTCAGTGTACTTGGGAGGTGCTATAATTATGTTCAGACAGACTAGAAAGAAAATAACTTCAACTATACACACTACAGAGATGCACACATATGGACACATATTGATGTGTCAGAGGTCAAGGATATGTACCTTGACCTTTCAAACTACATGCATTCTTTCTTAATAATAGAATATGTTCCTCTTCCAAAGAGTGACTTGTGAATGTGGAGGTACAAAACTGTGAATGTGGAGTACTGCAAAGCATGTTCTCACCCTCGCTGTCCCTCAGTTTCTTTCCCCTTCAAAGTCATTGATGTCAGAAATAAGCTTTTAGGCATTTTTGAGGGTGTTTTTGATACACATACAGCCTTCTCCACATAATTTGTCCCATCAGCCTGCAGTGCTGAGCAAAGAGAATCAAAGTGTGCAATCTCTTTTCATTCCCTACCCAATCACAGTACATTGTGTGTTTGAGGGGGGGGCATTAGATTCTATTGAAATTTTAGCAATTCACTACTGAGCATCACTCAGAGGATTTCCTCATCTTTTCTATTCCTTCCCAGTTTGGGGAAAAAAAAAAAAAAATCCCTTAGAAATCTGTCCTTTTGGAGGAAAAACTTTGAATAAGGCATGGTCTACAATGTTTTATCTTTTTTTTTCACCCTCTATACCTTTTTCATTTGTATATCAGTAAATTAAAAGCAATCCTTTCTAAAGATTCCTTTGCTTCCTACAACTCACAGTTGTGCAGATTTTCTTAGTCCTTGAAAAAGAACATAAAAAAAAAAATAATGAGTGCTTCAGCTGAGAAGGGAGTGCTGGTTTCTTTTTGGAGGAATTGTTTTACCATGCTTGATAGAGACTGTTCCTAGCCTGTAGGTGCCACTGTAATACCAAAAAGGCTTTAGAAGAGCAGCCTGAACATAAGCCTAGCAACAGTACAGGCACATCCCATTATTGTATTTTAATAACAAAGATGTTGTGGGGCTTATTGTGTTATCCAGTAAAATCCAATAATGACTGAAAGTGGCGAGTTAACCTCTCTGTATCCAGCAGCTGTTTGTAAAGAAATAATTTGATCATCTTTGTATTTAGTTTTTCTTTCCCAACTTTTTGTCATTCTTTTTACACAGTTCAGTCTATCTTCATAAAAATAAACTGTCTTTCCAAAATATCTGATTTCTGATTTGCTCCCAGTGTGGGAGTTTATCTCATTCTTAAATAGATTTTGAAGAACAGTCAATGCAACCAGTGTTGTGAAAGTTGTTTTGCTCTCAGCACACAGCATAGATTGATGTAGTGGAGAAGCATCCGTGTGTTCTCACTGAAGTGATTTCAAATGCTTTCTGGGGATGTGTGTGCTTATAGAATAAATAGTACTGGCAGCTGAGAGCAAAGCTTGTCAGAGAACTGACACTCGACTATGGCCACATGCATCTTTGGAGTTGTCTGGCAGGCTGTAGAAGGTATTAGTGGTTATAGGAGCCCTGCCTTTTTATCTAGCGTGCAGTGCTGCTCTTCTCTTTGTTCTCCTGATCTTAATGGGAAGAAACGAAGGTAGACTCCCTCCACACACTCAATTCAAATGATAGTGTTATCAACAAGTAGACTTTGACATCAGGATTTCATTAGATCTTTTTCAGCTGCAAGACAAACCTGCTGATGACTCCTTTTCCGTAAAGAATAGAGAATAAATCACGATGTGCCTTCATAACTGTACCTTCTATAACTAACTTATCATACCACAGTCTGGGTGGCAATTTGCATTGCTTCTTTGAAAACAGTTCTACCAATTGAGTTTGTCTAACTGATGTTTAAAAAAGACTCCTTTTTGAAATAAAGTATAGAAAATGGATTGGCTTGATTTAACATTAAAAAATAAACGTGGTGAATTTATAAAAAGCATTCTGGTCATAGTCTAATTCAGAGCCTTAGCACAAGAAGAGTAAGAACAGTGGTGGTTTCATTTCAGCTTCTATTATCACATTTTATCATGAACTTTATTATGAAGTTTGTTAACTCTTCTATTTTGCACGTGTAATACAGTTAGCAAAAATCTTAATTTCTCATCTGCTTATTTTCATAGATAGGCTTTAAAGACAACTTTAGTTTTTTAAAAAACTTGTCCTTAATTTTGTGCCTTTTCAAGTAGGTTTAAATAAAAATTTTTTTATTTTTTTTTTCCTCTCCAGTTGCTGCAATGTGGTGGGAACCTCTTTGATGCAACCTCTATCGCAGTGAAAGCAGCTCTCTTTAACACAAGGTAAAGTGCAAATCTCCTTTCACGTGAGCAGAAGTGGCGTGGGAATTGGAAGAGAAGTGCTATCTATGAGTTAAGCAAGGGAGTGGAGCATCTCCCTTATGAGGAGAGGCTGAGGGAGCTGGGGCTCTTTAGCTTGGAGAAGAGGAGACTGAGGGGAGACCTCATTAATGTTTATAAATATGTTAGGGGCAAATGTCACGAGGATGGAGCCAGGCTCTTCTCAGTGATGCCCAGTGGTAGGACAAGGGGCAATGGGTGTAAACTGGAACACAGGAGGTTCTGCTTACACTTGAGAAGAAACTTCTTTACAGTGAGGGTGTTGGAGCACTGGAACAGGCTGCCCAGGGGGGTTGTGGAGTCTCCTTCTCTGGAGACATTCAAGACCCACCTGGATGCCTTCCTGTGTGATCTCATTTAGGTTCCTGCTCTGGCAGGGGGATTGGTCTAGATGATCTTTCGAGGTCCCTTCCAATCCCCAACATTCTGTGATTCTGTGATTATTTAAGTAAGAAAAAGTCAAGGCAACTTGCATTCAAATACAGGGTGGTCCATTTGCATGCAGGTAACATGAACTAACGACTTTAACTCGGTTTCAAATAATCAAGTGTCATTCATACTGCATTGTATGCACAATCAGGCTCACAATATAACTTTTGTTCTGTAGCCAGATGCAGAAGAAGTTGTCTTGACCATATGGTTTTGTTGCAGGTAGTTGGAGGCCTTTGTGTTGATGCCTTGTGGGTTTAAAATAAAAGTATTTACTGATATGTAATGCTCCTGAATAAGAAGCCCTTTGTCAATGTGCCTACCAGTTTGAAACTAGCCCTGTTTTCCCACTTCTGTTGTTCTTTCTCATTAACTGTTAGTCTAGAGTTCTTTTTAAAACTAAGAGGAAAAATGATGTCGAGAGATTGTGGGGAGGGGGAAATTGTGTCTTTGAAAGATCTTTGCCCCATGCATTTAAATTTGGAGAATGGAAGAACAAAATCTAGTAGAATGAATGATTCAAGTGCTCTGTGTGTGTTTTAATGATAACATTCAATCATATTTTTTCTCATGTTTTTATTTTCTTTATCTATGGGTGAAAGGGAATACAGAGGTTTGTAGCACCCTTGAGAAAGAAACTAGTGAATGGCTTTGCTAAAAAACTTATGTAGCAAAAGTAGCTGGAAGAGGTGCAAAAGTTAGGCTCCTACAGGCATAAATGTTTTAAAAGTGAATCTCAAATTGTTCTTCAGCTGTAAATTAGAAATCTGATAAAGTCACTGGTATAGTTCTGGCTTATTCATTAGGGAATCAGCGCACAGTACTAGAGCTGGAAAAGTACGTGCAAGAAGAGGAAGAAAATATGCTTTTGAAGACAGGCAGTATATCAGATTATAAATGCTTTAAAAGAGGATCTGGGGAGAATGACTTCAACTTGTATATATTGCTGAGAAACTTCTCATGTTAATCAAGTTTTCAACAGTAACTTTTAACAGTAGATTGTTTTTGTAGCATTAAGAAATACTGTCACAAACATAATGGCTCACAAAAGAGTTGACAGTATATTAAAGGAAAGAAGTGTCTGTCTGTGTCTCTGTCTGTGAGCTGCCAGGATGCAGAAGTTGTGTGATTAAAACAGTTGCTCCCATGTGAGTTGTTTTGCAGATCCAAGGCACATACTTTATTTACATGATAACTAGGTCTTTTTTCTTCTTTCAACCAGAATCCTAGTTCTGAGTAAAGAGAGAAGATAATATAAAAAGTAATTAAAATAATTAATAAATAAATTGAAATCTGTTGCTTTGGGAACATGAGCAACATGGAGGGTGTAATTGTTTTAATGATTCTGCTTTATTCTTATTCTTCCAACAACTGTATCCTTCATATGATCTTTAATCTGTGGGCAAGCATCCACAGTCTCATGGAAGTCAAATATCAAGTTAAAATGTGGTACAGTATGACATAATACAGAGCCTGTTGATTTTTGGCCTGGGAAAGCCCTGCCTGTGGATTTGAGCAGGGAATGCTAGTCCATCTATTCTCATATGAGCTCAGAAAGTCAGGTGAACTTCAGAGTGAAAACCTGTTGTCTTCATTAACTATTCCTCTCCCTTTCCCTTGGTACCTACTAAGTTTTCTTTGGATTGACAGAAGGTTGTTTAGAGGAGCTGCCCACTCTTCATAAAATATTATTGTCCAAGCAAGAGGAGATGTTGGTTTGAAAATCACTTCAGATTAAGTGTCCTGAACTTTGCTTGACATGTGTGTCCCTCTTTGAGTCTTACTTGCCTTTCATAATCTGTTTACAGCCCATTTTTTGTTATAAGTGTTTTCAGATCTTTGTCAGCCTTGACTGCAGCCTTGGAACCAAGACCAGGGAGCTCAAGCTGCTGGTTTTTCTTTGAAGTTACAAATTTCAGCTAGGTATTTAAAAACCTTAGCTTCATCCTTAAAATCTCGCTCTAACCATTTTTATAATAGCTATGGGCACATTTTTCTTTAGGGCTAAGTAAGTCCAAAATTGTAATTTCAGTAATTTTGCACAAGAATTCTGGGATTTAAATCCCTTTATATGTCTGACCTGACTCATCATATCCCCTCCAGGCACGAAACAAAGACAATGACTGTTTTAAGCGGAGCATTTACTCCTCGGGAGTTTTGTATTGTACATTGCGTTCTCAAAAGTACAACAGTATCATGCGCAAAAGATAGCAGATATCAAACTTTCTTCTTCACTGTGTCTCCAAGGTGCTTAAGGCTGGATTTATCCATGATGGAAGTAGGTAGTGCAAAATGTGCGAGTAGCTATTCTTTCAGGACTTAGCATTAAACTTGATCCCATGGAATGTGGCTCCTTGCAACCAAGGCAACAGAAACTAGGCAAGTTACAAAAGCTGCAGAGTTTATAACAAAACAGCCTTGCAGATGTCGTGGTTTTTTGCTGGGCAGTATGGTAGAAGCAGAACTGATGCATGCTTTCAAAGGTAGAACTGGTTTTGCAGTTGTGAAATCTGGGTCTGCAGCACAGAGAAAAGAGCATTGTTTGTTACATGAATAAGTTCTGCTGTACAGATTTCTGCCCTGATTAGTTGCAGGAATCAAAATAGAAAAATAAAAGTTGCAAAGTAGACAGGTACAGCTAGTTCTTAAGATAAATCTTCACAAGCTGTGAGAGGAAATCTCCAGTTTTCTGGAAGTGCTTTGTGCTACACTCTCTTTGCTGCACTCACTTTTTGTGTGTATGTACCCCCTTTTTATGCAACTATGATGCTTGTGTCTGATCAACTGTCTTTTTGCCTCTACAGTAGTTCTAATTTGTACCCCTCTCTCATCTGTTCTTGGCCAAAACAGCTCCTTGCAGGCATTTTTTAGGTGTTAATTCTGGCAAATTTTTCTTGCAGACCAAACATTGGTCTGGTTTCATAGCTATTTTAGGTTGGAGTTAAAAATTGCTTAATCTCACAGATTTTCTTGAACTCATCCTTCTTTTTTAAATACTGCTCTGGCACATGCACTTCTTTGTCTAGGCTGTTGTCCAGTGTTGTCCATTTTCCTGTGTAGTTGGAAGGTTAGTCACCTTGTGACTTTATTTCATCCATTTTTAATGGAATATTTTTAACTGGAAATAGGCTTTGATGCATTTCCAATGAGTTGCAAAGCATTTGGAGTTTCATTTCAGGAAAAAGTAGGCATCACAGTTGTTCTGCTTACTGGAAGTTTTAGTTTTAGCTTTGCTCGGGCCAGTGTTCTTGTAGGGAATTTGTTCTCACTGAAGCAGGGTTAGCAGATGTGAAGTACTTGCCTCTAGGGCTCTTAGCCCTGAATAACTGAAATACTTTTCCAGGGAACAACAAAATTCACTTTGCATTGGTGGGGGAAACGCTTACTAAATCATCCCCTGATTTGGTACAGAATGCACAAAAGAATGTAGCCTCCAAAGTCTAGTTATAAAACACAATGCTCCTGTAAAGGTACGAATATAAAACCAGATTGTGGTTACATTTCACATGGTTGCTGAAGTTAGCTTTCTAGGGATGTCTTGAAATATTTTATGTTTTCAAGTGCAAATGTGTAAAAGTGAGAGCAGTGTGGTAGAGCTGTGTGTGGGTTTTACTGGCCAGTAAAGGAAAGTCTCTCAGTCAGTACTCCATCCTAGTGGGCACCTGGATAAATGAGTGAATATAAGATACTGGTGTTCTTGGCAGCTTGAGATACCATCTGCTACTAAATAGTTTTAAATGGCTTTATTAATTGTGCTAAGAAAGCTGCATTAAATCATCCTGTGAAACTCCCATTAAATGGCTATAACAAATACAATCTGTGTATGACTGAAAAGGAGCCTGTCTAGCTCATTTGTGAGAGAGCTCATCACTCACAATTAAGAAGAAAGCATTTCTTGGATTTCTGCCTGGATTTTTATCCCTGGTTGTTGCTTTTCTATATCTGTCCTTAGAACAGCAGAGTCTTCTGGCTTCTTAAAGTATGAGAATACCTTGACAATCTTCCCATCTTGCTAAAGAGAGAAGATTTTGCTAATGTCATCTTTTCCCTTTACCCCAGGTCGCCTTAGTTACTGTCATTCTTTCCCAAACAGCCTTACTCCTTGAATTTGCTACTGATGTCACAGCTTTGCCAAGCAATGCAACTACTGTAATTCTGACAACTTTACTGTTGTCTGCAAGGTTGGGAGTGACCGTACAAAAGGATTCAGTCTTGGTACTTTCTCTCCCGTATATCCAGGCAGATGTAGAATTGTTCAGAACTGATTTATGGAAATTGCAAAAGAATCTCCCCCTGTGCATTAATGTAAAAAACAGTTCAAATTCTAATGGTTTGAATGATGTAAATATGATGATCTTATCCTAAATATCTTCCTACTTAAAATGTTTTCTTCCTGGTCTCAGTGAGTGAGTTGTTAATACTTTGAGAATATTCTGGATTTTTTTCTAAACATTTAGTCTCATTCAGGGGAAAGGGCACTTCCTGGAATTGAGACTACATGACAACTGTATTCCTTATCTGTTCTGCAATGGTTTTGCACGTTTTGCTTCCACAGAATACCCAAAGTGCATGTTCTGGAGGATGAAGAAGGCTCTAAAGAGATTGAGCTCTCAGATGACCCTTATGATTGTATTCGACTTAACGTGGATGATGTGCCCTGCATCGTCACGCTAAGCAAAGTAAGCCTGACAAATTTCTACCTAGAGATTCCAGTTTCTGTTAACTTCACCTGCTGTTTATTTTTTCCCTAAAGATAAAACTCATGTTACAGAAATGGTCAGTGTCCACTATATATTTGTTCATCTTTGGCCTCCTATTTAAGAAGAACTTTTATTGAATAAGGGTTTTTTTGCGCCTTGGACTTGCAGGTTTCTACTTGATGCATTCTTAAAATGCATCTGCATGCATGCAGAAGACTTTATTATTTTTCATCTATTACTTGCTCAACATCCAGAGCAGCAGATACTTCAGTCTGTCTAAACAAATGATCCTTGTGAGGGGCAGAGGTTGTGTGATCTGCCTGGAATTACACAAGGAGTATTTGTTGCTGGGGACAGAACTCCATTTTCATGGGTGCAATACTGTCCTGTCCTTTCAAACAGGTTTTTGTTTTCCTTTTCCATACATGGCACACAGCTAACACAGTTGATTTGCTGGATGCTGCATTTTCCGTTGCAAGAGTTAGTGGTTTGCTTAGTTACCAGAAAGTTTGTATAAGCTTTTGTTTTTTTAAGCAAGTTGCATAAATAGTAGAAAGGCCATCACTGCAGTGAGGGCTCACTGGAGTCTCAGGATGTGTAATTTTCACCTAGAGGGGACAAAAGTCCATGCTTGGAGTTGGGGGGAAAAGGGGAATATGGAGTTTCTTATGGGTTAAACAGTGGTCAGAGAGGAAAACAGTATGAAATACTTATCTCACCTCTGCTATGTATGTACACACAATTTGGGGTCAGAGGCTGTTTAAATACTGTGCTGTCAGGTCAGTCTCTGACCATTACCAAGGGTCACATGATATTAGGGTGAGAGGCTGTAGATAACTAACAGAGCTACCACTCACAGTTTCACCTCTTAATATAGAGCTTAGACAACTGCAAACTAGTATGTCGTTATGTCACTGACTTACAGATTGGGTACAGGCACGTGGTGGATGCTACCCTTCAGGAGGAAGCCTGTTCTTTGGCCAGCCTGCTTATTTCTGTGACCAGTAAAGGTGCCCTCACTTCTATGAAGAAAATGGGGAAAGGTAGCCTGGATCCTGAGAGTATTTTTGAAATGATGGAGGTAAGGAGTTTTGAGCAGTTACTGTTTTGGATGGTACTGGATGATGTGGAACTTGGGTATAAGAAAAGCTGCAGTAAGGACTTTTTAGAGATCTTGGTGCTTTTATTAAGTGCACAAGGGACTTGTTGAAGGTCACAGACAGTTCCTCTGAAACAGAGTCTGATATGAATGGATGTTACCTAAAACTTTTAGATGACTGAAATGTGTGGTACTCACATTTGTTTCAGTCAAGCACTTCACAGCTCTAAGACTGCAAAGCTTAAGTCGATAAACTTTGAGAGTGTTTTTAATGAACATGTTCCCTCTCTCACTGTTTCCCTTAAAGATTGAAAGAGGAAAACTTCTAACATGGTAAAGTCCCTATAGAAGTAGAGTTGGTATTTTGAATTGCTAGTGCATGGTGTTCTCTTCTAGCACAACTCACTTGTTTTGTGATCACCTTACTATTCTTACCTTACTGTTGTTTTTCTTTGCTCCTTTATTGGGTTTCTGATCTGCCCCCACTCCATGCAAATACTAGTATCTGGATGTTGTTCCCATCTACATAAGAATTCAATTTTAAACCTTTCTTCAGACTTTTAAATCTGTCCTCCAGTATAAATTCTCATGCCTGCATTTGGCCTTGAGCATGAGACAGAAATGGCTTTTGAACTTGGAGTCAGAATGAAAACTAAATACTGTGTTTCCTAGAGATCCAGAACTAATTTCAGTATGGCTGTAGTGAGGAGTGCAGAAACTGGAGCCAAGTTTGAAAACAGTTGATTTCAAGTGGAAGTTACATGCTGAGTGTGTAAGGCACTTCCCTGTTTTCATTATGTTAATCCAGAGTGCTCATCTTGGTGGTACCAGTGGGCTTTTTGTTTGCGTTCAGAGGTGTTACTTATCCCCCTTATCTGGGTAGAGGGATGTTGTCTGTAATCTGGTATCCTAAAGAAACCAAGCTTCCTATGGACATCTGCTTTGTCTTTCTTGATCTATTTTGAGTCTAATTCTCACTAAATATCATAAAGACTTCAGGTTTTGGGTCTAGAGCTGTTGCAAAGAGTCGGGTCCTTAAGTCAGATACAGGTTCATCGTAGATGCTGGCTTCCATGCAGATTACCTGCACAAAGCTTTGATGGGAGCCTCTGTTTTGATCACCGATCTCACTCTACGTTGAGCCCTAAATAAGAAATGAACTTCTGCAGTTCCATTGTATAGCCTACCCCCAAAGGCTGTGCTTGGGATTATGTAATGCTCATCTAAACACTAATCAGAGATGCCTGTGGAAGGTAACCATAGGAAATTTTCAAACCATCCTGCTCTGCTTAAGAGCTTTAGTGAACTTGTCCCTTGAACTTGTGCAAGGAGTTAAAAGCTTACACTGATCACCCCGTGAGTTGTGCTGTCTCTCACTTGCTTTGGAAGAAGTCTTCCCTCCTAGGTTTTGAGCACTTTGAAGGAGAGAGGGATAAAGCTGATTAGAAGAAACTAAGATGTTTTCTGGGAAGTCACAGATTATCTGTTTGGCCCTGCCTCAAGCTCAGCAGCCTGATTAGGGTACCAAGAAAAACAAAAAGGCCTGGGAATGTCCAGTGGAGGATCTGCATAACCCTTGCTTGACACCTCCATCCCCTAACAATTTGGCTGCAGGTCAAAGAGTGTGCAGCTTTCCCTGCCTGGTGGAGAACAGATGTTCCCAGGACATATCTCTTAGGAAGGCAGCTTCATGAGAAAGTTCTGGGAAGCTGCCAGCTTTTTTTACTCGGTTTATGATCCAATCCGGAAGAGAGGCAAGTAGGAATAAGATGGCAACAGTGCTGTGCCTTTTGTCAGTACCAAAGCTCTGCGCAGTTCCCATTCACTTTGACGTGGTGTGAGTGATGTTGTCCTACATTTGAGGAGAAGAATACGCAAAGTACATCACCCCTCAGGACCCCAAACTGCTCCTGTGATCTTTGTCCTAGTGCAGAGCTGTGTGTGTGTCCCGCTTTATTTAGCATGGTTCACAGTGTGGAGGATTGACAGCTACTCTGCTGCATCAAAGCTCTTCCAAATTTCCTTTGGTACCCTGGTCCGTGTTCTGTCACTTGGTTCTTTGATGAGAAATATACCTCATTTTAAGGTTTGTACCCCCATGGTGTTGGCAGTCGTCATCAACAGGTGAAGGAGAGCTTTGTGGTCAGCTGTATGGCAGATATAGGCTTCATTGCATAGATCAGGAGCTAATAAACTCAGTTTAATATAATCTGTCTTTGGCTCCTTAGGGACAGGTAGGGTCTCTTCATCTCTGTATGGAGTCAGTATTTCAGGTCATTTAGAGAAACCCTGGGAAAGCTCTAATAGGGTATCACTGCCTTAAGATCCTTATTTCAGTATTGCCCAATGTTTCCCTGTTCTGCAGCCTCCACAGTGCAGTTGCACTTGTGGGAAGGGTAGAGCCCAGTATCGGACCTAATCCTGGTGGTTTTCCACTGCTGGAGTTTATCTCTGTAAAGAAAACCTCCTGTTAACTCCTTTAAGGAGCTTGGACAGTACAGAATTGCACATCATAATGCAGAATCTGCTCACAGATTGATTTGGTGATGCAGCCAGTGTGCATTTTGGGCTTCTCAGGCCACGTAACAGGGTAATGAGCTGGTCTAAATTCACTCTGCTGCTTCTGAGCACATTCAGAGGAGTTTGTTAAACTTTGTATTAGCAGGCTGCTTTGCTGGTCAGGTATCTCTTGTCCTCTGGCAGCCAGTGTATTGCTTCATATTGCGTGTGCTGGCTAATTTGAATGAGTGCTTGTGCCTGATGTGAATCTAATTTGTATTCCTGAGTGATCTATGGGTGCACAGATCTTGTGTTAATGATCATGGAATGCTTCTCTGATGAATGGGAGCACTGCCTTTATGTGTATATTTTTCCAAAATTTAATCAAATTAAAAGGAAACTTCCACTACCATTATTTTTGTTAATTGAAAGCATGTTTTTATTATACCAGCTGGTGTATATTAACCGTTAAAGGGAAAGTATTTGTCAAAGGGAAGTGTTCCGTGAGAGTTGTCTTCCTGATAATAAGCATATGTCTTAAATTTGTTTTGCTTTCTTTGCATTGCAGACGGGAAAAAGAGTGGGCAAGTCATTGCACATAGCCCTTCAGAAGGTTCTGGATGAAGAAGAGAGTTTGGGGACCTCACGGCAGAAAGTTGGATTTCTAGGATGAGTTTTTATTAAATGTTCAAAACTGGTTTTAATGGATTGTGCAATTTGTCAGTTTGTATATAGAAAAAGGATATTTTTTGTTCCAGCACCTTCATCCTTCTGGCTAAGAGGCTTTTAAAATGTTACTAAGCATGAAGAAAGCTACAGTTATGTGAATAAGCAAATTTGAGATGCTGTCCCTATCGGTAACTGTCTGCACTGAGGAAGCACACCAGCAGCAACTGATGTGATTGCCTGGGGAGGGGTTGAGTCTGTTTTCAAGGGTGACTGGTGTAGGTTCCACTTAATTCTGTGTTCCACCTCTGCAGACCAGCTGCTGTGTTCTAGAGTGTATATGGGGATGTCCTTGGTACAGCACAAGCCAGGTTTTGGGCCTCTTAAAATTTTGTTGTTGTTGTTCATTAGCCAGATGAGAACAGCACTTTTTGGAAGTCTTCCTTCAAATTATCTTACTTTTATTTGAATAAAATGTGGTTAGATTTTCCTATAAATACAACATGATCCGAAGTTTCTAATTCTTATTTTAAACCAAGATTTTTTGGCTTATTAGAGCCCTTTTGCCAACGGGTACAATAGTAACCTAGCCAAAACCTCTCATGGTGGCTAAGGAGAAAGAGCATGGTTAAGGAGAAGGGAAAATAAGTTAAATTTTTAGGAGTTTGGTAATTCATCTGGAAAAGCAGTGGCTGTCAGCAATGATCCTTTGCAGGGAAAGACAGAAGATGGCAGGTAAGGTGTGTAATCAAGTTGTACCACTGTCTTTAAAGCAGTGGATTCCCTCCCTACATCAATTGGCTGTCCCAGCAAAGAGTAAGAGCTATTTATTTGGCAGGATAGGAAGAAACAACAGATGGAAGAAGTCAAAGGAAAAAGCTGATTTTCAAGAAGTTGATATTTCAGCTGCAAGTGTCAGAAGAATCATTTTGAACAAGCATTATGGCAAAAGTTACTACAATAATCCAAGAATCATTAAGCTCTTACTCGAGCAGTGTTTTCTGAATTTCCTGTTTTAATTTCCCAATATCAGATTCAGAACATTCTCTTCTCTAGAACACGTTTGGTGGGGAGAAGGGGAAGGTTTTTGCTGAAGGTGAGCTGTAGATATAGAACAAAACATATTACAGCTCAAATTACTAATTGGGATCAGATTAAAGTACACAGTGTACTTAAGGTCCCCAGATCTCTTCAGCCCTTTTCCTGGAGCTCACTCACATAATTATTCAAGCTGACTGCAAGACTACTGTGTATTTCAGGTACGTGTAACCACTACTATAAAGAGCAGGCAGGTTAAAAAAAACAAATAAAAAAAAATTGTCCCACAAAATTTGCCCAAGATGTCTATTTTGAAGGGGTGGGATTTTTTTCAGTACCTTGAGTAATGAGTTAGGTATGTTAGGACAGCGCTATGTAGTAATACAGGCAAAGTGACAGTGATATATCATCTTCAGTCACTCCATGTGAGACAAAGACTACCCTGACCTCAGCTTTATAACAGCTGTGATGCCTTCCTTGTCACACAAAGGTACTTGTAAGAATGTCAAAAGAAAGAAAACCGAAGGGAGGAAAAACCATTTACAATACCTCAGACTTACCACAGGCAGTTTTTCTTTAGTCGTGTATTGTTTCGTGTTTCAGAAAATGGTTAATCTAAATGAGGATTACAAGTCTTAAACCACAGCCATTCTCTGAATAGCTGTTGCCTGTTTTATTACAGATTTGTGGTTGGATACCAAAAAGCTGCCCAGAGTTACTTCCAGGGTGAATTTTGTAACATGGTAATAATAGAGTGTGTCTGCATCGCCTTCCAGCTGAAGGATCTCCAAGCGTTTTACAAGTTACATCATTTAAGATGCTCTTTGTCCCCTCTCCAGAGCATTTTAAATTGATTGTTATGAGAGCTGGCGCAAGGGGGGAAGAAACTTCAGCGTGTTTCAAGCGTGTTAACTGACACGTGTGGAAATATATTCACTGTGGAAGCGAATATATTTGCATTCACTCTCTGCTTCTTACTAAGAATGGCAAATATTTAGCCCATCTGAAATCTAGGCTGTGTGCTAGGTGCCCACCAAAGCTGCAGGGAGAGAAAATGTAACGAAAGGCTCGTGGATCGAGATCAGGACAGGGAGAGATCACTCACCAGTTGCCATCATGGGCAAAACAGACTCGACTTGGGGAAAATTGGTTTAATTTATTTATTTAATTTACCAATCAAATCAGAATAGGATAATGAGAAATAATACCAAATCTTAAAACCCCCTACCCCTCCCTTCTTCCTGGGCTTAACTTTTCTCCCAGTTTCTCTACCTCCTCCCCCCAAGCAGCATAGAGGAACAGGGAATGAGAGTTGCAGTCTCTGCTACTCCTTCCTCCTCAGGGGGAGGGCTCCTCACTCTCTTCCCCTGCTCCAGTGTGGGGTCCCTCTTACAGGGTGCAATTTTTCAGGAACAGATCTCCACGGGACCACAGGTCCAGCCAGGAGCCTGCTCCAGCATGGCCTTTCCACGAGGTCACAGCCTCTTCCTGCTCCAGCATGGTGTCCTCCACGGGCTACAGGTGAACATCTCCTCCACTGTGGACCTCCATGGGCTGCAGGGGAATCTCTGCTCTGGCACTTGGGGCACCTCCTCTCCCTCCTTCTTCACTGACCTTGGTGTCTGCGGAGTTGTTTCTCTCACATATTCTCACTCCTCTGGCTGCAGCTGTGTAGGTTTTTTCACCTTAAATAGGTTATCCCAGAGCTGCTGCCACCGTTGCTGATGGCCTTGGCCAGCGGCGGGTCTGTCGGAGCCGGCTGGCATTGGCTCTGTCAGATATAGGGGAAGCTTCTGACAGCTCCTCACAAAAGCCACCCCTGTAGCCCTCTGCTACCAAAACCTGGCCACACAAACCCAATACAACCTAAAAGATGCTCTTGCTACCTGAGCATCTGTGTCTGCTGCCAGCGCAGGGAAACCTGTGGATCAGCTGTGTGTACAAAAATCCTACCTCAGTCACAAAATACTCGGTACCAAGCACCTCCTGAGAGCGTCACTGTGAATTAACATGGTGCAAGTGCCTCCTCTAACCGTGCGTGTCCTTCTCCCAGGGCTTCTGTACCTGTGTCAGCAGGCACAGAATGAACTGGGGGTCTTCAAGGGGTCCTAATCCTTCCACATTCACTACCTCTCATCTGTTGGCACTGAAAAGCAGCAGGGTGGAGTATGACCCTAGTTTACACTGGGGCTGCTTCTACCCCTGAGATCTAAATAATGAGCCCGGCCAAAAGTATTACACAGCTACTCATTGGTCTCAGCTGCCCCTGGAGGTTTGCTGCTACCAACTCATATCCCAAAAGGATAAACAAAGCTCTGACAGGGGCAAAAGGGCCTGCTGCTCTCCCGGTTGATACAACATCTGCCAAGAAATCTTTGAGACTGTGGTTCCCAGGCATGCTATGGGCTATGCTGCCCATTTCTATTTTCTTAGCTCTCTTTAACCCCTCCCTTCCATCCCAAACAAAAATAACAGTTAGATTTTTACTAGAGGCTTCAGCTGAGACTGCTCCAGTTCCCATCTGGGCTGGTGGAAAGTTCCATGTGTGGCTGTGCAGATATTGCCACGTTTTCATTGACTTGAGTCCAGTAGAACTAAGAGGAAACATCTGCGGAGCAGGATAGCTCTCTGTTTGTCCCAGAAATTAATTGCTTCTGCTGGGAGCGTGGAGAAGCTGAAAGCTGTGTACTAGAGATGAGTTGTCTAGCGACTCCTGCTAGGCTCGGCTTCTACTTGTGTTGCCTGAAAAGCACCCAGCGTTTTGTTGGGGTTTTTTTTACTTCCCTCATGTATCCCTGCCTAAAGGTCTGTTTGACAGGGATGGTCCCCTGAAGTGGGAGAGACCTAGGCTGCAAGTCAGTACACCTTGCTGGTTTGCTTCTCATCTTCCTCCAGATCTGTGTTTATACTCAGGGTGATGCACCACAGATTTACCAAGCCCAGGAATCCCATCAGCCAATGTTTTGCAACTACAGTAGTGGTTCAACATGGCAATTGTGTAGTTTGGGAAGGAGAGGAGAACTTGTTCTGCCCTGGGAGGCGTTGAGGCAGTGGGGAGGAGAAGGGCCATGCCACCCACAGTTAGGCTTTATGGAAACCTCTTCAGCACAGTCTGTTGTAAAGATAAGTTAGTTGGAGCCAGAACTTGCTCATGGCTCTTGTGAGACTGGAGCATGCAAGTCTTTTTTTGGGGGACTCAGCACCTTGATGTGACATAGGTAATATCTCATGGAGTTTTTGCATTTTCTCTGTAAACATGTGTTCACTAGAATCTACCACCTTCTGCTAGGACTGCCTCCAGCTTTTACTTTAAACTTGAGCAGATGCCACTGCCATCCTCAGCAGTGGCATGTTCTCCAGCCCTGCTGTGACACCGGTTTACTTTGCATGTAGTGAGCAGCCACTGAGACCCAGAGCAGGGAGAAGAAGGCAGCGTGACTTGGCAAGACCTGAGCGAAGAGTGCTCCAGTTCTTACCCCAGAGCCTTGTTCCTTCTGCAAGAGCAGGTCTGCAACTGGGATTGAAGCTCTTCAGCTGTCAGCCTCTGTGCTGCTGTTAATGGCTCCCTGGTGATGGTTTCAGCCTCCATTTCATCAGCTGGAACACTTTTTATTAAGGCTGTGGTTATCTTATGACCTCTATGAACATCTCTGTTGCTATCCTGTTCTCAAGATTAGGGTAAGAGCAGCAGCGCAGGCACCCCCGAGTTTTCATGTCACACCATTTGTAGATCTGATTTGATCTCCCTAATTTAGACTGAGAAGGTCGTAGTTATTCCAGCCCCTTAGCTAATACCCTCAGGAAGGAAAAAGGAAAATGAAATCTCAGCCACTTTCTGACATAGAGGTCCTCCTCCACCCAGCTGGCATGGCGAGGACTGAAGCAGAGCCATTTTTGCTTGGGTGTTGGATTCAGCCACCAGCCTGCAGACCCTCTCTTGACAGGAGCATGCTCACCACATGTTCTCACTGTGTTTTGGCAAATGGTAAGTTTTGGTATTTTTAGGGTTGG